GCTGTGGTTATTCAGAATCTCTGAGCAAAATCACCCAGTGCAGTTTTCATTTTAAGTCAATAGAAAGATGGGTGTTACATTTCATAGGTACTGGGTTGGACTGTACTCCTTGGCAACCACGTCTGAAACTCTCAGCCAGGCACTTGCATGGTAATCGTGTGAGTCTGATAGTCACATGAAAACTGCAGTGTCACATAATGAAAAAAAGAATCACAGAACTTCAACTGCTATTCCTTTATTGTATCCTTTATTTTATCTGTCTTACCACTTACTTGAAAATCCTGAGTGTCATAGCAGTTAACATCCTTTAAAAATGAGCCTGTCAGAGAAATTTTCTTTTCCTTCTTCACAAATATGAGAATTCCTACATCTATCTGTTATTATTACATATAAGATCCAAAATACTTGGATGAGCATGTTGTGACAGCTATCCATGGATAGCTGTCATTATAACTAAGGCTTATTATCAGGAAAACAAACTAAAAGGGTCTAATGTTCAGTAAGAACTTTTGATTTTCATTTCCTGCCCTAATACACTTTGGAAGACACATAAAATACAAGGTGAGTAAATTCCTTATAAATTATGTAATACAGAAACTTTACATTTCTGTGAAGAGCAAGTTACTCACCTCTGAGCTTTACAGCCCACTTTTAGCCCCTGAGAGTCAATAGTGCTAGAATTGACAGACTATAACTGATTGACTAATTGGACTTCATATACTGGCTTCCATCTGTAGAAGTTCCAGGCCTGGGGAAAGAACATTTTGGTCTACCTTCTAGACACTGCTGCGTAGCTCCTTCGCTGTTCTAATGTATGCCAGAATCTGACAGTAGAGGATTAAAAATTTTTCTCTGCTCTGTCCTCTTTTTTGCCTAAGCAAAAGCTTCTGTATACTAAGGCACAGTATACAGCCTATTATACTGCCTTTAACCTTGAAAATTTTCAATGCTATTTTAGTTCTGTTTAGAAAGGCTTTCTTTCTGCCTTGAAAAGTTGAACTCAAGGGGACAAAGGTAGCTTGGTTTTCATTTGGAAGGCTACAAAAGCAGGTCCACGTTTTTGATCCTCTGTAGCCCTTTTTTCTTTTTTTGGAAACAAGATATAAAGATTTTGCTGTTAAGAGTCTGGAATGATCTGCAGAGCTTTCTTTGCCAGCTGCAATAATCCTTAGACACTTGGTCAATCCTTCCAGATGTAAATTCTGTGGCAATCTAATTTAAAACAAGTAGGAACACACTTAGTTCACTAGTACTCGCAATATTGTTACAATTAAAAAACAACATCAATCTTGCCGAAGAGAGAAAATGACTGGCTGTTTTCCCTGTTCAAAATTAGAGGAGTAGCTGTGCAACAGGCAAATCCGAGGGCACAACTCATTTTTCAGCCACACTGCTGAAAGCCTCTAGTGACATTTTGGCACTTTTCCCTGATGTATACTAAAGACCTTTACAGTATACATGTTGCCTCTTCTACATTTAAAGTACTCCATTTGCCTTCTTAATTTATCTTTTTTTCTTTGTTTGTTTTGTGATTTAAACTACTTCCTTTGAGTTAAACTGAAGCTACAAGAACTGTCAGAATTTCATTAAATCCCTTCCAAACATAAACTCTGTAAATGTCCCCTCCCCCACCTCAACACATACAATTACTTTGGTTTTGGTTTTATAATAAAATGGTCGAGAAAAATACTTGGTGATAAAGGTAATCACTACATCATAGAATTGCAATAATCTGTTTTCCTCCTCAGTGAGTCATGAAAACAAATCATGATCTTTCATTCATGAGGCACCTCATGGCTTAGTAAATTCTCTTGCTAGTGATCCCTTTGCTGTATGCAAGCTGTATTTTAACGACTAACTAAAGAAGTACTCAATATGATGTGTAATGTTTGTAAGATGTTATAAGTTGCTATGAATTCAAGTAGCCTCCTTGTTAAATACATTTTGTTGCTTCTTCAACTCGTGTTGGCTAATGCGTATGTCTCATGTTACCTTGTCACTCCACAGCAGACATATTCTAACATTTAAACATTTTAAAAACTAGTAATTGTAAGTATGCTGCCACTTGGCCTCATATAATTATCATCTGTTTTGTTTTCCAGCCATAATACATTTCATGTCTATACATCCAAGTATTCCATTGGAATACAAAATAAATACACAGGAAGCAGACGCTGACTGCTTAATTCCAGTTTCCACATGAAACTGCTTATCACAAAATACTCTTCATAGCAATACTGTCCGAGATCAGGCCGGTCTAGCTGCCATTTCTGACAGATATTCTTGATTATTGAGAGCCTGTTAATAGTGATTGAACTATATGACATTTCTCTGGAATTAATGATTGACTGGAAGACTCCAGTGGCTCAGTGCTTGGCAAAGGACCATTCTCTCTAGCAGGCAATCTTTCCCTAGGAAATACTCAGAGGTTGCATGAAGATTAGTATTATTTACAAAATGAAATAGTGAATTTTAAGCATGATCATTGCAATTGCTCTGTGTTTTAATTGTTCAGTATTCATCAGATTAATCTCCCCTTCAATGTTCAGATTAACATGTGTTATCTTTCTCTCTTAATTTTACTTTTTCAAAATCACTTATTTACATAAAAGCTTGCAAGAATCAGTTTTAATATTTCATACAGGTAAACACAAAACATAACATATACAACACACACATATCTGTGCAAAGTATGAAGGTGTAATGTGTTCGTATAACTTCCACTAAGAAATGACTATACAACAGTATATACATCCCCCCAAAAACCTATTTTCTAGATTAAAATTGTACAAGCAACATTGCCATTGATACACGTGTGAAAGATTCATTGAAAACAGAGAAGTATAAGAGGACTAATGTGCTTTGTAGAAGGTCTGTGCCTACAGTTAAGTACTTCACTTGGCTAAGTGGATATGTGCTTGAGTAAATACATGTTCTGTGGGTTGAAACTTCACGTTCTCAATTGTTCCAGAGGCAAAATACATTAGCTATGGAATTAAACTACAGAAAAAATAAGTAATTATTACTTACTTCAATGCAATGACAAAAGGGATGTCTTTGACAACAGACAGTCCTGATGCTATATTGTGAAATCTTTTGTGTTTCTCAGCTTCATAAAGACAACTGAAATCAAAGTTTATTTACAGTTTTAATTGAAAAAAAAGAAAACAACAAACCTTTAGAAAGTTGTACAATGACCCAATACATGCCCCAGTACTGTATGAAAAGCCTGTTTCTCTCAGTTTTAGTTTTGTTATTTCCGTTGTTACTCTCAATGATTATATATTTTTATCAGGCACATATTTTGACAACTGCACGCTAGGAAAGCATTATAACACACTGCAGCAGGCAAAAAAAAAAAAAAAAAAAGGGGGCTCACACTCTAGTCAAGAATAAGTCTTGTTCACCCTTAAAATTCTGAGCCATAACATGGTGAAAATAACTTCGCTAATATTAGTAATAGGAACATAGGACGTAACTAGAGTAATTTATGATTTATTAGGTAATGTGATCCATGGGTTCTGAGTTCAATAGGTCTTATAGTGTCACAGGAAACACTGTTTTCCAAAGAGCTTTGAATAACTCTCCTTTTTTTTTTCTTCCCTAGTTCTGAGCTGTTTCCTAGGACATGCGTTTAGAGTCAGATCCCTGATCTCATGGAACTGAGTCCAGCAGATGTTAGATTCTAGCCTAAATACTTTGTTGCTGTTGCACAATGCTTATGGAAATCCCCAGGAACTTATTAAAACAAGGAACTCATATCACAAGCAGTCAGGGTTATTGGCCCACAGAATAAATCATTTTTGATGCTATTATTTCTGCACATGCATAGCACTAATCATGCAAAATATTTAAGCAGCTTTTAAGCAACCAGAAAAACTTGTATAATCTTATGTACCTGACAACACTGGCCTTTATATGTCTACAGATACAACAGTACGTATGATTCACTTTTGTGCAGTACCTTCAGCACAAATTGCATCACAAAGTGTTAAATAATAAATAACAGCAGAGTGAAGCATACACAAGAGAGGAATGATATGATTTCAGAGGAGACTTGAAAAGGGATGTTGATGAGGTGGAGGTTTTAAGAATTAAATATTAACAAAAAGGCTGGTTTGGCTGAGACCAATTGTTTTCCTCTGCTGAGGAATAAAGGGGCTCTGTGACCTGCAGGAAGGCTTACTGCCAGCCCGTTCGGTGGAATCATCACACTGTACTTGGAGTCTATTTTTAAGAGAAAGCGAAGGATCACAATTAGCTACCGACAGCCCTCTCCAGTTCCAAACGTCTGCTTTGTCCTCTGCCTCACCTCTCCGTTATTTCCTGCTTCACAAACCCTCACGAGCCCGGTTCCTGGAGAGCAGCAGCCACGCAGCCCCTCTCCCTGAGCTGAGGCCATCCAGACGCGTCCCTGAGGAGCGGGGAAGCTGTTGTAACCCCGGCCCACAGTGCTACATCTCGCCATAACGGGCTTGTTTCCTACATGTGGTGGCAGCATAGCATTCAGGATAATACCGCCGGTGTTTGTGCAGGTTGCTGCCAAGGCAGACGGTGGGGATGACGGAGTCAAGCGGCAGGGAACGGCTAGAAACTCTTTCCCAATGAGTTGGGAAATGCTCTGTTTTGGGGAAGTTATCTTAATTCAGCGTCTCGCGGGCAGCCGTACTGCGTCCCCAGAAGCCAGCCCGACCGACGTTGTAACGAGATTTCTAAATAACTGACGTGCAGGGGCAGCTCACGTTTAGCAGCCACACGCGTAGCCCCGCCGTGAGCCACGCAGCACGAGGAACGGCGCTACCTGAGGGCAGCGCGCGTCCACGCCGCGCTCAGCGCAGACACGGCCCCGCGCGCAGCGCCCTGCCAGGACCCGCCCGCCGCTCGCAGGTGAGCGAAGCTCCAGCTGCACCGCCACGCGCGCGCACAGCGCAGCGCTCCTCGCATCCTCGCACTCCGGCGCGCACCTGGGCCTGGAGCCCGCGCGCTGCAGGGGGGCGCGAGACCGCAGCCGCCCGGCGCCGCGCCGCCCCCCGCCCCGGCCGGCCGTTACACCGGAGCGGCGCGCAGGACGGGGAGGAGGCGCTCCCGCGCTGTCGAAGACGCACCTGTGGGGAGCGCCCACCTAGGCGGGAAGTCTCTTATGTAAGGAGCCCGCGCCGGGGACGGGCGCCTCGGGGGGTTGCCGGCGCGAGTGAAGCCCCGCGGGGGAGGTGCGCGGGAACGGGCGACTGTGCAGAGCGGCGCCCGGGGAAAAGGGGCTGCGCTCCGTCCGCGGCTTCGGGCGTCCGCCGGCGCCTCGGTGCTCAGGCTGGGCCGGCCGGGCCGCCTCGCCCTCGCGCTCCCCCGCGGGGCAGCCCTTCCCCGCCGGCCGCATGCCGCTCCGACCGGCCGCGCTCTGCCCCTCGGCTCGCCCGGCTCCGGGCGGGGGGCTCTGCGGGCGCCGGCTGGGGGAGTCGCGCGAGGGGCCGTGCAGGGCTCGGCGGGGGAGCGGAAGGTGGGCGCCCAGGCGACCGCGATCGGCGCCAGGCGGCGCGAGGCGGGCCCGCTCCCATCCGTCCCTCCCTGCAGCGCCCTCGCCCCGGCGCTCCCGCCCCACGCCCCTCTCCCAGCCCGCCGTTCTGCGCTGCCCCGCGCTGCCGCCGCACCTCCGCCCCCCTCACTCTTCCTCCTCCTCCCGCGTGCTGCCTCCCCGCGCTCCCCGCTCCACAAGTGCCGCGCGCTCGCTCGGCTCCTCGGGCGCAGGGAGGCGCGAGGCTGCGGCGCCGCTCGGGGCCCGGCCCGCGCGGGGCCGTCCGTAGTGCTGGAGGCGAACGCGGGCTGAGGCGCGCCCGGCCCTTGACCGAGCCCTTTATGTTCAGCTCCCGGCGCGGCGCAGCATCCAGCAACTCGAGCGGCGGCGGCGGCGCTGAGCCGGGGCTGAGAGGCGGAATGGAAGGTTTCGTTCGGCTGCTCTTCGGTTACTTGGTGGCGGACTTGCTTACGCTGGTTTGTCGGGCTCAGGAGAAAGCCGGCCAGCAGCTGGGGAGCTTCGTGGTGCTCTCGGGAGGAAACCACTCCAGCCTCGGGGAACAACTAGACCCCTCCGAGCCCCCTCCCACCCCGGACTTCTGCAGGGGCTACTTCGATGTGATGGGGCAGTGGGACCCTCCCTTCAACTGCAGCTCGGGGGAGTTCATCTTCTGCTGCGGCACTTGTGGCTTCAGATTTTGCTGCAAGTTCAAGAAGACAAGGCTGGATCAAAGCACCTGCACGAACTACGAGACGCCGCTGTGGATGAACACTGGGAAGCCTCCTTCCCGCATAGATGACCCTCTGCACGACCCCACCAGGGATAAAACCAACCTCATCGTCTACATTATCTGTGGGGTTGTGGCAGTTATGGTGCTGGTGGGAATCTTCACCAAACTAGGGCTGGAAAAGGCACACAGACCTCAGCGGGAGCACATGTCCAGGTAAGGTTGAGCGCCAGGGTGCAGGGTTCCTTCCCCCGTCACTCCTCTCCAAAAAAAACAAAAAAAAAGCCCACGAGTCCTAAACAATATGTCTACCCAGCCAGGCAGGCTCTATTCTCCTGCAAGGTAACTGAGACCAACTTCAGAGAGTAGGGCTTCTGTGGTTCCCCAAGCTGAGATTATCATAGTGCATGCATATTGAAGAATAATAGAAATAATAGGGGAGTGTGCACACAGAGTAGTCAGTTTTTATCTGCAGCACTGGACATTCTCACCAGTAATATCCAGCAAGTCTTCCCAGATACACTGTAATTGAATAGGAAAAGCAAAAATTCTGAAACCAGAAACAATGAATTATAGAAAGCCCAGTAGGTTCTCTCTTCCAACTGTTTTGAAGCCTGGAAAATGTTTTTAACTTCTCAACTGAAGATGTAAACAAATGTCATCTCACTCTCCCTTTCCAGCTGCAAAATGGTTTTGGCAGGACCTTCCCTACTCCCCCAGCCTTTGAAAGCGTGTGAGCTATTTGTAAAATATCTGAGCTGTGAAAATGAGCCAGGGTAGAAGGGAAGAGGGAGACAAAAAGGAAATGCTATTGTAGGATTTCTTAATGTTTTTTCAGTTACTGTTGAGAATTTAAACACGGAATATGAAGATTTTGTCATGCATAAATGTGTGTTATACTCTATATCGACTGTGTAATGGCTGAGTTACACCAAAGAGAACCTCCCCCACCTAGAGTTAGGCATGCTGTGTGCTCTCTACTCCAGATACAGGCTGCCTAGTGGTGGATAGGCAGGTGGGCAGCTCAGGACAGAGCCCAGTGTCTTAAACAACATATTCCAAACCAGGATTGTCACAGCAGTTCAAAATCAAGGCATAACACATGTGCCAAGTTTGCAGTCTGTCTGATTTTTTTTTATGCTAATCCCAAGCACATGAAAGTAAAGCAGATGGGGGGGGGAGAAGGAGGAGGAGGGAAGGCATTAAATAAAGGGTATCTCTCCATTAAAGAGCCTAAATCAACTCCAGTGTCTTGGGCAACTTTAGAAATACAATACAATTAAAAGGATGCCTTCTACTGGGCATGCAGTGAGGCAGAAAGATTCCCCTTGCCCTGGTGATGATGTAGTTGACAATCTTTAAAGCTTAGATGAAAAGTCTTTTGAAATACAGCTCAAGAAATCAACTCAACACCTGGAGCCGTATCATGGCAGCTTATCATGGAATGTACGGAAAAAAGCCACCAAAAACTCCTGCAAAGGCATTATCTGTTCACTAACAGTTATTTGCTATTTATAAACTGGCTGATATGGATACTAATGAGAACAAAACATCACAAATTTTAGTCAACTCAATACTGTGTGTCAGTGGCAATTCTGCAAACTCAGTTTTCTTTGAGGAAGGTGTATTAATCCTTTAGACATTTTGAATATTCTGACTGCAAAACTAGACAATATGTGGATCCCAATTTATTTTTTAAAAAATACCCTTAAACTAAGGGGCTGAAGCTTGTTTTGAAAAGCTCTCGTATGCTTCAGTCTATTTCTGTGGTGTCTTTGTGCAGGCAGTAAGTCAAAGCTTGTAAAAAACAAAAAAAAAACAAAACAAAACAAAAAAAAACAACAAAAAAAAACAGGACAAAGCCAAGGTGTAGCCATCCCTGCTTATACCTGGCTTAAACAGATCCAACTTGTACTAACAGAAATACTTGCTGAAGAAGCTCTTTGTATTTGCTATCTAAAGTACAGGTGTTAAGTAGTCTGAAATGATATTCTCTCTTCTGATATTCTGGGAGACAGTATTACAAGGGACTAGAAAATATTCTGAAATCCCTGTCATGTGTGCATAAAGATTAGGTTTCTGAAGTGGTTCTTAGAAAGGTCATGTGTTATCCTAATTACTTAACATTGTCTGAGATCTTGTACCTTCCTCACCATGAAAACATTCAAATCAGGATTATAGCAACTTGGAAAGTCATGATCACATGGAAAAACAGTCACCCACTCACTGCACATAATAGCTAGTCATGTTCTGATGAAGCAGTACTATAGCTTTTTTTTTTTCCTCCCCAAAAGTTCTCACACTCCTATTACAGCTGTGTGGGGTGGGTCTAGTATAGCATTACTTGTAAAAGGAATTAATTTGTAAATCCTTTGGGCAATCTAAAAATCTGTTCATTGAGTGAAGAACTGAAGTAACTCTTTTATCCTCAAATGTGTGTTTAACTAAAACGTTCCATCCTCATTTGACACTACTAATACTCTGAAAAAGAAGTTGTAGTACTTAAGCAATAATTTATCTGTTTAAATAGTTAGTAGTACCAGCAATTAAAATAATGTCTGTATTTGTATTCACCTTCTTTTGTAATACTAATTTCTACAATTACAAAAAAAACCCACAACAAACCCAAATCAAAACTAGCACCCCTTATGTTTTTTTCTGTACCAAATCTTATTAATAAGCAAAAATGTAATGCATTGAGAGTGTTAGGTAGGCCAATTGAGAAGTGTAAGTGCTACTCCATTTTGGCTGGCGGCAAAAAACACACATACAGAGAATGATTTGATATCTGTTTCCTTAGCTAAGATTGTCTCCTTTCCCTTCCCTACCCACAGGTACAGGAAATAGTGGAATTCTCTCAATTCTTATGAACAAATTCACCTAAGTAAAGGCTAGTACTGCTTATCAGATAAGGTGATGGATGATGTAAACTGACTTTTTTTATAAGGGCTGATTTTTTTTTAAGTGAACAGGATACAACTGGTGTAAATTAATGTATTTCCATTTTTTTATTTACTATTTAGAAACAGATCTGCACATGAGGATAAGAATGTTGACTTGTAAATAGGGAGCAGGTCTGTGCCATACTTAGTAATTCCTTGCATCATTTCATCTTGAGGTCAGTGGATCTGCTGCTGAAGTAAGACACTCGTGTATGTTAGAACAGAGGAAACTTCACAGAGTTGGTGAGCTTAGTTTCTATAGCCTTTCATTATATTTTGTTTACTTCTATACCAAAACAAACCAAGAACACTATTCATTTCACTGAATTTTCCTGAAGTATTCCACAATGGAAGAACAGTGAGAAAATGTACTTAAACCCATAGCAAAAACAAACAAAAAACCCCACAACAAAACCCAGTGGACAAGGCTATTTAGCAAAAAGAAGTTGCTTCCTTTTCTTTTAAGAAAAAATGCCAAATATAAAACAATTTCTTTCTTTTGCTTTTAAATAAAACGTGGAACTTACTGTTGGCATGGAACTGTAAGTATGGAAGATGAAAGTGGAGAATTAAGTACGGTATTAACTCTGCATCATATATTTCCCTTTAGACATCATATGATAATACACTGTTTATATCATTTTCCCTTTTAAATTTGTTACTTGACATTAAAAGGAGATAAATGTTCCCTCAGCTAATGGTGTTCAGGAACCAAGAAGTAATAGTAGTGTCCAAATAGAGTAACTCTTCCTTTACTTAAATGCCTTTTAGGAGAATAGGATGGTGTATGTTATCAGATATGGCAGAGGGATTGCGTGAGGCAGTATCATGCCTAAGAGGAAAAGAGAAGCAATCTGCCTCCTGAAGCAGACCTAGAAGCTCTGCTGCCTAGGAGGGCAGTGCGTGTTTGCTGCTTAAGACTTGCATCAATGGGACTTTCAGGCTTTGTAAGATGATGAATTCTCTCTTGAAAATGTGTAGAATAGGCAAAAGCTTTACTTCTTTTCCATGGAGGAGATCTTTCTGTAAACAAAACTACACCTTTGTCTTCTTCTCTAATCCTCATTGGAGAATGTGCAAACAAACCTAGAACTGAACAATATTTACACTCGTACTCCCTAGCTCCCATTGTTTTTTTTTTTTGTTGTTGTTGTTTTTTCAGTGCTTCTGATAGCCTGTTAGCAGCTTTCTGAGCATTACGAACCATCTGATCTCTTCTTTTGTCCTTCTCAATGTGCTAAGCTCCTAAGTCAAGTCTTTTGTTGATTATTTGGAAGGCCAACAACCCGGGGCCAACAATAGTCTGACTTGCCAAAATGCTGAATCCTACAAAGAAATTATTTCCCTTATGGATTTAGACCCAGTTTTGGAGGCAAAATATAACAACTGACCTTTCATGAAATAACTTGTTTCAGCTTCTTCAGGCTTATAACCATAAGGGAAATGCCTGGCTCCACGTGCTTTCTAACATCTGAAAATAGTATTATATATACCCAAAGATAAATCTTATGGCAGAAGAAATCATGAAGTTTTGCAACAGTTGGATAGCCCTGGGCCATATTTAGGTAATGTTTTTCCACTTCTGTAAAACTGCAGACAATGTCAATATATCAATATATAGGACTTAGATATCACTACCTTTTACGTTTCCTTAAAAAATCATTATATATATAGCAATGGTGTGAATAAAGCCCCTCCACACATAAATATCACTTTATAATAGGACCTACTTTGTATGATGATATTCAGGTGAGAAATGCACAGAGTCTGTTGGCCTATGCAGTATTTTTTGAAGCAAGCATCCGTTCAAGGATACTGCTTTGTACTCCATATGCACTAAACTCTATATGGGCAAATCTCTAGGAAAAAAAATGCAGGTAACTGCATTGCCTTTGTGCTTTAGTAACACGAGCTGCCACACATTTTTAACTCTCCCTGACATCAGTGGAAGATAAGAACAAGCCTTTTGTTATATGAGCTATTCTGCCCTGGGAAGACTGTATAACTTTGGCTAATACAGTACAAACATAGGTGCTGTGTCATTCAAAATCATTAAAAATAGAACTTGACGAGAAGTTCCTTTTTCCTTGACATATTTGCACAGCTAATTCCTTAAAACCTGGCTGAAAAAAAAGCCACACTAAAGCGGTCGAAAACTCAGCTGGCATTTTCACAGTCAGTCAGTAGTTAATCTGTTGTCATTTAAAGTCTATAGTTCACAATATTCAACATCATATTAAGGGCAATGAGGAAAACATTTCAGAAAACCTGTTCTTGTGAGGCTGGGAAATGCTACACTATGTATTATAGATTCACACAATTTTAACTCCCATGATGAAGTTAGGAACTTTGATTGGTGCTTCTTTCCTTTCCCAGAAATGTGTCCATCTGCCTCTGGAAAAAAAAAAAAATGATTGACATCTTGATGTCAACCATTTTTTTAAAATAAATATTGCATGAATTGACTAGATATTGATAGTTTTGGTTCCTGTTATTCTAAACTGTCTTTTGCAATATAGTGCTTTCTTTTAGCATCTTTTTCTACATACCTTTGTGAGATCTCTCCTAGTGATTTTTTATTTTTCTGCTATGTAGGCCAGCTCTGCAATTTCTGCTGTATAAGCATTGCTTCAAATGGAAGCTTTGCTCTGATACCATTACAAGTGGAGGCACTGCTCTGATACTATTAATCATTTTGTTACTACCTTCTGACCTTTTACAGCATTAAGAGAATATTTTGTAACATGTTGATCACTGTAACTAATATTTAATAACATGATGCTAGCCCTAAACAGATGGAAACATCAGTACCATTCATCAATGTGCCTGCAATCTGAGAGCATGATTTATCTCAGAATTCCTCTCTGTATCTTAAATGAAACAGCTATTTAATATTTAAAAGTACAGTGCTCCTCGATCAAGAAACCATCATGCACTGGAAGCACAGCGCAGGAGCTAGATGATACTTGTTGTGACTTTCACCAGTGAACGTTTATATTTATTTACTTATTAGTTTATAAACCTGGGACACTGTATAATCTGGCAGAAAATTAAACTAAAGTAGGCGCAGTGCTCGGAAGATGCATTCGTTCCCTTCAAAAAGTAGCTCAAGGCATCTAAAAATTAACACCAGTAAGATAAATGGAGGATGCAAATAATGATCAGTGATGTACTGACTTGCATGGAGCTCCAAAGACACTGGTAAGACCCAGTGAGTGTTCCTGTTGCCAGAAGGAATGGTTTCTGCAGGTGGGCTGGTTATTTTTGGGGCACAGTGGTTCAGCAGGTTATTATGTGATGCATACCTAGGGGCTAATCCTGCTCCTAGTGAAATCAATGGTGAAACTCCTTGGCCCAGAGTCAGAGAGGGAGATATTGCCGTGCTGCGATTTTCAAAACTTAAAACATAGCAGGTACATGTGTGCATTCTTACCTACGTGAGTCACACTGGGCAGGTTGTTTGACAGTGGAGCCAGTCCATAAAAACTATGCAAATGTGGGATGAGCCACTGTGTCACACAAAATTACTGCCTGCAGTGCTGCAGAAAAACCCCCACGACCAGCTTCAGGTTGGGCCTGGCCATACTGTGAGGACTCCTCCTGCTTGCTCTCTGCTACTGTAAAGCTTTCATCCTTTTTCCAGTGATGTTACCATGCCAGCTTTGCTCTCTTGTAATGATGAGGTCACTCTTATAGAAGTGAGAAAAGATGTTTTCAGCTGCCTTTCTGAATGGAGAAAGCTTAAATCCCTGATTGTGGATGGTGCCGTGCCTACTGGATTGCTACAAGAAAATCAAAACCGTTCACCTTTGGTAATGTTTTTCATTGAAAATGGTCGAGGCCACTGCACTGTGTGGTGCTCTGTGCAGCTGCGTGTTTAAGAGTTGACTCTGACAGACCTGCTCAGTTTGACTGCAAAGGCACTGTCGTCGAGCACAGGAATGGATGAACTCTGCAAGTCTCAGCAAGCTTAAATCGTGTTTCCATAGAGCAAAGACAGCTGAAGAACTGAGTCTTAGTGAAGTCTCATGATGAATTTGAGTCCCTGATTTTGCTGTGAATAGGAATTGTTTCTCCAGTAGACATTACAATAGACTATCCCAAACAGAAACAACGCACCTGGACTATATTGCAAACAAAGAGATTTTGCAACAGGTTTATTCTGAAATTTTGTTTGTTTTTCAGGGCTCTTGCTGATGTGATGCGACCACAAGGTCCTTGTACAACAGATCATATGGAAAGAGATCTCAACATTGTAGTACACGTGCAACATTATGAAAACATGGAGACAAGACCTCCTCCAAATAATTTACGTAAGTTGCATTATAACTACATTAGTATCTGGAATGCTTGCACTAAAATGATTATTATGAAATGATATTGGTGGATGTCAAATGTGAATATGCAGTACACAGGTTCTGGCAAATTAGAAATAGTTTATCTCGGAATTAGAAATATTTAGATTTCCTGGTGCAAAAAGTGCAGTGCTTACAGAAGACTATTTTGATGGGAAAAAAATGAGTTAGTCTTTGTTTTTCACCTTGTTGCCTTGGTTGACTGTTTTGAATCTTTGTCTTTTTCTAACTGATGTTTTTATTAAGCTCATCAACCTATTCCTTATTCTGTGTTTTTTTAATACTAAAATAAAAATGGCTAAGCTTACAGCAAGATTTAACGAGATGTATCAGACATCTGTAACACCCAGAAAGAAAGTGGTCCCATTGGGGTATCACATACTGGTCATCTCATTATCATTGCCACTAGTAAAATAGTTAAATACATTCCTGAAGAGCATAAAGTTGTATGTAGTTTTCAATTTCCTCATTTTTTTTCTCTAATGGAAATTTGAGAGGAAAACTATTAGGTTTTAAATAATATTTTTGTTTTGTATTTGCTATTATTTATTTGTTGAAGATAAAGTAAAACTACACCTTGGAGCTTCAAAGGAAAATATGGTAACATTTCAAGGGCTTCTAGAACCCTAGGCACTTATTTCTCAGTCTTCTATTATTCTATAGTGCAGATCTTTGTTGTGCTTTGATGTGTTCCATTATGAACAGTTTGACTATAATTTTAATTTGCATATGTTTATGTATATTGTATCCTTCTATATTATATATATGTACAGATACACAGAAGTTACAGATTACATGTTTACAATTTCAAGTTCATTTAAAGAGGATCATTCAGGAAGGAATGGGTCATTAGACAGCAAATGGCTTTATTCTGTGCTGTAGAGCAATATAGTGGAGCATTCTGCTGTATGTGTACTTTTTCCTGCATTGGTATTTGGGTTCTGAAACATTTAAACTGTAGTATTATATTTTTCCTTATCTTTCTATAAATGGAGGAAGCAGAAAATTTGCTTATATTTGGACAAAGAATTAGTTTTGTTCAGAGCAGACAGTGCTGTTATTGAGAGATTTTATTGCTCCCTTCTTTTTGGGTGAACATCGTAAGAACAGGAAGAGAAAGAGAAGATTCATGTGCTAGGTGCACTCCTGGCATTTGTTTTGTGGTAAAGGCTGATGGTGATTTCTTACGCACATGGTTACAGGACAACAGGAGAGAATTAAAGCTGTGACCTCTCATAAAGATTCCATATATAGTGAAGTCTGACATCTAATCTGTCTGCACTACTCAAAGCAAAGTACTTCCTGGGCATGTGCAGCTCTACACTACTGAAGGGGAAATACATGCATACCACAGCATTGCATCCCTTAGTTGCATAAAAGCACAGTTTCTTATGAGGAACTTATGCTTCTCTCCCAATCAAAGGTGCTCTAACTGCTTTTTGCTCCTGTGGTTTGAGGAAGATATGCTCTCTTTCCTCTCTCTCTTTGCTCTGTGTATTTGTTCTTTGCCAATCTCTTCTGATCCTTCCTGTGATTGTGTTTTCAAGCAGGAAGATGCCAAATGCTAATGTCCCTTAAAACCCTTAGTTTCTGTCATATATGGAATGTATATTCAGAATCTCAGTTAAGGAAGGGAGCCAGAAAGTAAATACCTACTGTATTGATTGCATCTGGAATTTTGTAATCTTCATACTGAGGTTTTGCTTAAAACTTTCTATACTGCAATATATGACATACTACAGTGAGTATTTAAACTCTTTAAGTTAATTATATTTTTAATTAAGATTTAAGCATTTGTTCTATAAACTCTTGCACATGTGTCTTTCCACTAAGATGGGCATAATTACAACGCCAAAGAAGCAAAGAAGATAAGTGTAATGGTACCTTAGGACCTTGACTCATGGCACCAGTCATCCATACCATATCAATCTCAGAATGTGTCCCTTTAGCACCCATTAAATATGACGCTCTTGCTTCACTGCAGTTTACCACTTAGAATCCCTACTGGTATATTGGAGCCATCTTAACACCCCTAGGTGGTGAAAAGGAGCCAGTCTTAGGACTGCTTCGGAAGCAGTTCAGGCATTCCTGCTATGAATGGAAACCTTGGGAAAAAAAGCAGCAAAGATGGTAGCTGTTTCAGTCTTCAGTCAAATTTATGGATGAAGTCAGTCAATTTTTTTTGCATTCTTTAATTAATATTGCATACATTTGCTTGGTAGCTTTGTTTTTTTGTTTTTTTTTTTGCCACTACGTTGCCTGATAAATTCATCAAAAATGTGACTAGAAGACCTTGTTGAATTGGTCTGTACATCAAATGTGATTAAAGTGTGTTGAGTGCACGTGCATCACAGTGCTGGAAAAGGCTTTAGAATGAAGAATTATTTAGAAAAATTTCCTTAGCCCACTATCTTAGCAATATGAAATTTTACGGCAGAGTTTTGAGGCACTGTAAGAATGCAGATATTGCTTATAAAAACTTTCTCAATTCAGCATTACCTACTTCTAGTGCTGGAAAAGTGACTTCTTGGGGTATTTTTAGAAGTAAATTAGCAAAGCTGAAGTACAGCTTTCACTGAACTTCTATTCCAGATCTTTACTTACACAGAGAAAATGAAGTACTACAAACTTATAGCATCAGACACTTTGATATATATATTTCAAGTTCTCTTTGCTAAGTTACCACTTTCTACCTACTAGCTATCTCAAATTGAAACATAAAAATTTGATACTAATGTACTTTTCACATTGGTCTGTAGATATGAAGAGGGCAGGAGTAATCTCCTAGGCAGTATGTACCATCTCCATATTGCATCTTTCACAATATTGAAGACAAAATGCTGAAGGCCCAACATTATTAAAATGTTCCAATAAATATTCATTTTCTCTACTGCCCTCTTGAAAAAACATCTTGCTGGTGCTGCCATCCCACACTGGAGGTGTCTCTTCGCCCCCTGCAAAGGGATGCTATGTCAAAATGACAAACTTTGCTTGATCTCTGACATTGAAAATGAGTGTGTTTTTGTCTTTGGACTGTTTATCACCAGAGAGCAAAGGTTTATAAGCACAGCTATTTGCCAAAAGCAATAGTGCAATGGAAGGCCAAAGTAAAATTTATTTTCAGCACCTTCCAGTCTGAGCAAGTATAGTTTGAGTTTCCTGTCTTTTCTTTTCTGGAACTCAGAAAAGAAAAGCCATACTGGGATCCTGGAAAAACAGAGATTTTCTTTTCTGTGCCCAGGTAAATCCAGACAACCTCAACCTTATTAGTGAAGGCTGCTTTGTCCTTAGTGGTTGTAAGTTGCTATAATTTTCTCCTGAAAATGTGCTTTATTTAGGATTACTTTTCTATTATTTTACATCATTTGAACACCTTAGAATGGAACAGTGTGTTGTAAACAAGCAGCAGTTACCTACCTAGAATTACCACATATTAAAAACAATTTTTAAAAAAGCATTTGAGAGTTATATCAAAAACAAAACCAAAAGCAAATATTTCTACAGAATTTGAGATCAGTTTTGTTCATCTCTATTTAACTTTCACAGATCTTAACAGAGCAACAGCATTCAAGATTTTTTTTTTTCCTACTTACTGTGTTAGAGGTCAGCAATTTATTAAACTTTGGATTATAAAACCAGTGCATCGGGATTTAGGAGCCTTTCTAGCTACATGCTTATTTCTGGAAGATGATTGCTGATATTATTTCTGATTCATATTTTATGATGGCAGAAAGAAACACTTATGTTAGAGCTGTCCACGATCACTTTTCCTAATGATCAGTAAAAGCTCAGTTACTACCTTGCACTAAGATATTTAAAGCATTCATGCAGAATCCAGAGATTGAGCTGACTTTAAAGGGAAGTCAGTTTGAGACTAAGGTGAAATTTTCAAGGTGAAATGCTAGCTTTTAGTCAGCTTGACATATATAGGTTATTTCTTCATTTTGAATTTAACACAAAATGTTGCACTATATCAAAATAGCCCATTTTAATACTAGCCAAGGATTTGCAGCACACATGATTAAAACAACTTTTCCTCTTCTTAAATATATGCAAGGGAATACTGTGTTTGCTGCTGTATTTGGTTGTCAGTTCTGGACGCTTGCTCATTACAAATGCTAATGCTGAAAACAAAGCTAAGATGTTTCTATAACTGATGCCTGATAAGGTAATTTTATTCTATTTTTTCTTTCTTTGTTTGCACTGGACAGTTAGAATATAAAGAGGCGAGTATTTTCCGAAGTTCTCACATATTGGAATAAACATTTTGTATCGTGTGATCCTTTGTATTTCCCATGGCTATAATATGAAGCTCAGCCTCTGTTTTCCTGTGAAACCATCACTAATTTGACACTGTGAAAATGCAGTCAGAATTTGCAAGAGTTTTTTTTGCAGTCTTTTTCATCCTTTGTGAATATACTTTTCTTGTTGTTTACTGCAGAGCTCTTTGGCAAACTAATTAACATAAAAATTTAAACATAAAATGATATAGACAAGTTTATGGTTCACTACTGCATTGTCTAGGCATAATTCCTGCTTTTGCTCCCTGGAAATAAGCATGCAGGCTTACTGAGAAACTGGTGAACTACTATCTTTGAAATGCAGAGCTCTTGGAGTACATAAAATACAAACTAATTTACTTACTTGTCTAGTTATGAAGAAGTAGACAATGTGCAGGTATTACGTAATAACAGACTTCTGTTAATAGGGGCTTCAAAACAGTATTTAAAAAATTGCTCCAATGAATGGATGCAAAATGCAAAGGACTGAGCAGATAACTTCATGCTTTGCCTCATTGCTATCTAGGTTGCTTGATTACAGTAAAATGCTTTTTTAGACCTCATTATATACACAGGTCCAGCCCAGAGGAACTGGACTAATTCTACATAAGTATTAATTGACTGTTACCACCTCACTTAGAAGGATGAAGTACAGGTAGAAAAGCTGACCTCTAGAGA